AAAAAAAAAATGTGAAAAATGATGTAAAAATAAACTTTTTAATAAAAAAAAAGTTAACTCAAAAAAAAAAATATATATATATACATATAAATTTTTACCTGCAATATAAATATAACAAAGCCCATTTTAGTATGGCTCAACACAATAAAGATGAATATTCTGTAAAAAAGGAATCACGTACTGTTTAACATTACCAATACAGGTCCACTTATTACTTCCAAAGAAAGCAACAGTTTCTAAGTATTTAACAGGGGATTAAGTTCATTGAATCTCGAAGTCACCTAGAGACTAAACACATCGAGTGGAACAACATTAAATCAGGAGGACAGCCCAGGCTGAGAAGTCATAAGATGTAATTCAACCACACATATTGTGGCCTCTCTATACACCTGTGATGTAGGGTTTGGAAGAAGCATTCTTGCATGAATGTCTCTCTGCCAGGAGACAATGGTCCACATCAAAAGACAGCAAACCTGGGGATACCTACGTAGCCACTAACTGATTATGTGACTATGGTCTGAGGTGTGGGAATAGCTCAGAAATTTTATCTAGTACCTACCACTACTTACACATAAAGCCATCCCTGTACAGATTTATGTATGGTCAACATGTCCTCTCTAGTTCCCCCAAATGATTACCCATTGTAATCATTACCCAGGGTCTCCCTTGGACCCTGTTCCTCCTGCTCTTGTCTCATAATCAATCACAGTTGTTGATTATTATAATAAGTAGCAAGAGGGCTGTTCACAGAGCAGTAGGGTCTTGCCTTGCAAACCTGGTCCACATCAGCTCTCTCAGCGTGTTCCCAATACAATAACCTATGTCATATAAAATACTCCGGGTTTCATTTAATTGGGGCAAGTCATCCACTAACAGAAAACTACTAAAATACTTGTTATTAAATTTAAAATACACAGATGCTTATAAAGCCATAGCACTTATTTTTTTTTAAGTATCATAGAAGATACACAGAAAAAAAATTTTATGTCACAGAGATAATAACTTTAGAGAAAAATTAAAGAATATGAACACAGAATACCAAAAGACTAAATTTCCCTTAAGCATATTAAACAATTTTCAATCTAATAAGAGAAAATACTAAAACCACCCTAAGATTCCATGTTAGCCTATCCAACCAATAAGAGAAAAATACCTGTCCACACACAATGATGGAATCTCTGGGAAAATATACACCCTCAACACACTGATATTACAAGCATGAACTGTCCAATCTCTACAGGAAAAAATTTGGAAATTAACTAGCAAATTGCAAATGCACAATTGCTTTGACCAAACAAATCATCTTTAAGGACCAACAAATCATTTTTAAGGAATTAAGCACACACATATTTAAACATATACAGTCTGTCACTGCAGTACTGTTTGATAGCAAAAGAATAAGAGAAAAAGTCAAATGTCTATGAATAGAAGACTGGTTAAATATATGGATTTATAATGTTTTTATCAATAAGTTATTTTGTTATAGTTATACTATAATATCTAATTATGTAGCTGTAATATATACATTTATATGGTTATATATTATAATTATGTATTATGTCATAATTATGTATTGTTATACATCATGATGTATTCACCTACAGTTCTAAATAAGCAATTTTAAAGAGAAAAAATGAGAATAAAGCAAAAGAATTCGGAAGCTCTATAAAAATCATGTGATGATCTCTAATGATAAAGTAAGTGAAAATAGAAAGATTAAAAACAATTTAAGGTTCAAAACCAGATACGTATCACCATTTAGGATTTACAAAAAATTATGTACATATTTGCTTCTACTGCTGATTACACTAGTTTCTTATAGGAAGAGAAATTAGATGGAGAACAGAGGAGAAAAATAGGCTTTTCACTTTTTGAGTTTTAAAACCAAAAGACTATTACAGATTCAATATTATTAAAGATAGACATAAAGTGTGTGCATAAAAAGAAAAACACAAAATTTCAGCGGAGGTTACTTCTGGAAATTGGAAGATGACTAGGGTTTACCATGTCAACTTCTCCATATTTCTGTGTTTTATGAGCAGAAATCAATTATGCAGAACAGCATATTTAAGGAGCTACAAAGAGCATCCATCCCTTTAAACCTCTGCTCAAAAGCCAACATTTTCTATGAATTAGTAAACAGACCAAATCCCTTTAAAGCAGCAATTTCTAACAAAATAATTTCAACAAATTGCCAATAGCCAAAATAATTCTTAAATATATTCAGCCTATTTAACTTAATTAGTGATAAACTGTGACTTACAGGTTTATTCTAGACTTGCTCTTTTGTGAGGTCAGCAAGTTAGGAATGCTTCTACTTTTTTAAAGGATTATTACCACCACCACATAGAGATACATGTGTCAGAAATCTCATGTGGTCTTCAAAGCCCAAAACATCTGTTCTTATATAAGAAGCATTTCCAACCCCTGAACTAGTACATAATAAATTAATCTGAAAAATTACTTATGTTCATTATAAAAAGATTTCAAACTGCAATTCCAATAGAACATGAATTACTTGTCTTTCAATGTAAACTAGTATTTTTTAACTTATCTTGTTTTACTAGCCATACAAATTGTAAAGAATAGAAAGAATCAAAACAAAAAAATCTCTTGCTATAGGTTTAACTTACTTTTAGAATTGGATTTAATATATTTTATTGCAACAAATCTTGCAAAATGATACATCAGATGGATAAATTTAGAACCACCAGGAGAAAGAAATAGTGAACCAACAACTTGAGGAAAGTTACTTCCACATTCAGCCTATGGGAAAAAGAAAGAATATGACTTAAAGACCTTATCAATAAGAATCCTTATATTTTCTTATACCATATAGTTTTTTAAAGCATAATAAGTTGATCATACTATTTCATTTTAACCAAAAGCTGAATTTCTAAATCATTCTAAACTCTTGGTGAATCTGGTCACAAGAAATAATTGTTAGGCAAAGTTATAATAACTGAACCAATCTAGGTATATAAGCTAATATAATCTCTGCTCAAAAGTTTTTTTAAACAAATATTATGATATAAACTCCTGGGAACTGTAAGACCTATTTTCATCACACCTAGCTAGCAAGGCTTTTTCTTAGGAATATAGAACCAACCTCCCCTAATGATTCAAGTTAGGTTAAGTCTCAGCACTATAAACCTAGCCACAAGCCACTGGAGTATGCATTCAATCTCCCACCAGGGAGCTAACCACGTGGCACAGCAGACCTCTTCTGTCTTGTTGGCTGTTCCCTTCAGCAGTATCTTTCAGTCAAATCCACCTGTTCTACTCCCCACACTCTCTGGTGAATCTACTCCCCCGCCCACATCGGTGGCCTACATTCCAGCTTTTGTATGCATAAATAAATGCAAAACCTTTAACAAAGTACCTGAACAGATTTCCCCTCTTAACAAAATTAATGTTCAGGGCAACCCCCGGTGCTGCAAGGGTTTAAATAAAGTTGAAGCACTATGAGCCTATCCGTAGCCACTGCACCACATGTTCAATCCCCTGCCAGAAAGGTAAACCACATGGCAGGTCATACCTCTCCTGTCTGGCCCACTGCCCCCTCAGCAGTCCATCTGCCTGCAATGCTTCCTGCCTCTATCTCTGGTCCTCTCACCCCAACACCTCCAGCTTCTACCCCAGTTTCTAGTATGCCTAAAAAAATCTTTAAAGAAAGAGAAGGCCCTCCCTGGTGGCACAGCGGGTTAAAGCAAAGCACTAAGAAGCTAAAGCAACTTCAGCATGAGTTCAATCCCTGCCCCAGAGGTGATCCATATGGCATAGCAGACCTCTCCAGGCTTGCCTGCTGCTCCCCTCAGCAGTGTACATCATAAGTCAGCCTTTTCTGCTCCCCACTCTGTCTCTGGTAAATCCTCTGCACCTCTGGCCTATACCCCAGTTCTGTATGCATAAATAAAATCTTCTTAAAAAAAAAAGAAGGGCCCTCCCTGGTGGCGCAGCGGGTTAAAGCACTGCACTGAGAAGCTAAAGCCACCTCCGCATGAGTTCGATTCCCGCTTGCCCCGGAGGTGACCACATGGCGTGGCAGACCTCTTCTGACCGCCCGCTGCTCCCCTCAGCAGTGTACTTCGTTGATCTGCCTGTTCTGCTCCCACTCTGTCTCTGGTGAGGCCTCTCACCACCCGAGCCTCTGGCCTGTACCCCAGTTCTGTATGTACAAATAAAAATAAATCTTTAAAAAAAAAGAAAAAGAACATTAATGTTCCATTATACACCAAAAAAGGTTTAAATAAAAAAAAAAAAAGACTAGTAAATGTAGTTCCTTAATTCTTTTTTTTTTTTTTTTATAGCTTCATAGTGTAGAGACTTAACCCTGGCAACCACCAGGGCAGGCTTAGTCCCTACTTTCTTAAAGTCTGCATCCTCCAGAGAGTACTTACCGAAATCTTTTTTAACCATTCACAGCAATGTTTCCGAAATTCAGTATCACTTTTTTGGTCAAATGGTGGCCAACAATGCCTTAAAAACAAATACAAAAGCATTAAAATTATGAAGAAAAAAAGCACTCAGCAAAATTAAAAAGTTTTAAAGCTATCCCGTATGTTACAAACATTAATGCTAACTGAATTAACATTCTTAGATTTCAACTAAATAGAAATAGCAATCCTATGAAAAAATGAGGTCTTTCGCTTTAAAATATGTGTAGAGTTCAGTATTGTTTAATGCAAATAACAATGAATATGCATATTAAGTGAATAAATTAATCACTATTAAATTACTAAATACAAGATGAAGACAACACTGTGGACTTAGGGACAAATTTGTAAAAACAGCATAAATAAATTAGCTTATCAAGCCTGAGAGAGGGAAACATAAATGATTGTATATAAAAAGCACAGAAGAAGGATGGCATGGGAGTTTATGACTCCTACAGGTCAATCATACCATAGCAGGTATTACTGTTTTATTGATAAATAACTGCAGGAATTTGTTAAGGTTAAATTTTATTTCACCTTTAGTCAACAGTAACAGACTTTAAAATTTCCTGTTGTTTCCCTCAGTAATCAATTTTGTCTAAATTCTTATACTAAGATTATCTGCTTGAAGGCCCATGTTTTTAATATTTCTAAAATACAACATACATTCTATAGTTACAGGAACAACGATGTATAGGAAGAAAGTTGACATGATAGAATGACAACAGTAACATTCTTATATTTCCTTTACAGATATCTGTATTTTCTGAAATGCTTAAAATGAGCTGTATTTCTTTTGTAATCAGGGCCCAAAAAATCAGTTTATTTAGGCTGAAGAAGTCATATATTTGAATGATAGGAATTTCAAAAAATGTTTCAAATATACCTCTTTTTCTGTCACTCATAACTTTTAACGAAAGGCAAGATACTAAGAATAAATTATCAAAAATAATGCCCTTATTAAAACAAATTTGAACACTTATCAGACATAAGAAATCCAAACCACATGCAAAATAACTTGGAATCAAAGTTAGGGGGTATTCACATTTTATCCCCTAAAATTACTCAATATTCGGGCTCTCCCTGGTGGCGCAATGGGTTAAAGTACTGCATTATGAAGCTGTGGATAGCTTCATAATGCCCTGCTGCATGAATTAGATCCCTGGCCAAGGTACTGACCAACACAGTATGGCAGATCTCTTTTGACCCACCTACTGCTACCCTCAGCAGTATACTTTGTAAATCTGCTTCTTTTGCTCCCCACTCTGTCTCTGGTAAATTCTCTGACCCACCATACCTCTGGCCTGTACCCCAGTTCTGTAAGCATAAATAAATCTTTAAAAAAAAAATTACTCAGCATTCAGTGGCCTCCCTACATACACAAAGTATTAAGTCTCAGAACTATGAAGCTATCACAACAGCAACATGAACTACACCAGGAATAGTCTTTGGCTATAGGACTTGTTATTTTATGTATCATTTACAATAGGGTTTACAGAGACCCTAAAAGCAAAATTACAAAAAATAAGAAATACAGCCTGCAAGAAAACAAGGCATGAAGCGCTTAGCATAAAGCAATTAAATAAAAAAGGTAAAATCAAGTGTATAAATAAATTGGTACTAGTTGTTTTGCTTACTAACTCAGAGAACGAAGAATTTTAAGTAGTTTTATAAATATCATTTTTTAAAAAGCTTTATTTATTTGTGCATACAGAACAGGCCAGAGGGTCAGGGCAGTGAGAGGATTCACCAGAGACAAAGTGGGGAGCAGAACAGGCAGATCATAGGAGTACACTGCTGAAGGGAGCAGCAGGAAGGTCAGGAGAGGTCTGCCGCGCCATGTGGTCACCTCTGGGGCAGGCGGGAATCAAACTCATGCCGAAGTGGCTTTAGCTTCTTAGTGCTGTGCTTTAACCCACTGCACCACCAGGGAGGTCTCTAAATAACATTGTTTTAACTAGGATGTACAATGATTATAAGATACATAATTTTAAAATAAGTATCAAAGAAAAACACTTAGATTTGTAAGTTTATAAGACTCAAAATTAATTTCTGTGACATCTATTCAAAATAATAAGTCAAAAGCCAAAGTTGAAATTCTGGTTTATATCAAATCACAGTTCTTTTTTCAATTTTGAGAATGACTACTTACAAAAAGAAAGGGAAACCTGCTTACCTGAAAACTTCTTTGGTGAGAGACTGGTCTAGCATTTGAAACAAAAAGTAAGAAACTATCTGAAAAGCATCACGGTTCAGCTTGTCAAACATATTCCTAGTGGTTTAAGAGGAACAGAACCAGGAAAACAAAAAGGAAAATGCTTTTTTTAAAAACTAAACATCAAAACATCAAAAGCTGTGTAAGAATTTGACCTTTTTCAAGAGGTCAAGGCAAACAAATTTTTCTCATTCATGCACAAAAATAGCTAATTTTTACTAACTTTGCTATTTGTCAAGTATTACTTAAAACCATCTATAGGCAAAATTCATCTAATACTCACCACAATCAGGAGATTAAATACTATTCAAGCTTTTTTAACATGGATGATTTTATTTAATCCTAATACCATTAGAAAGTGACTATCTTCTCGAGGTGGAAATTTAGAGGTAACAAATTAGTCCACAATCACAAAACCAAGAAATGGAAGACATATGTCTAGGGTTTTCACCACTTGATTTCATCACCAAAAACATTTTTATAACAAAATAATGAACAACCATATACGAGACATTTTGCGGGGGTGGAGTGGAGAATGGGATCAAAAATGGGGGAGGGGGAAAAAAATGGGGGAGGGGGGAGGGAAGTACACAGGACTATGGTGATGGCACACGGGTGACTGGGTGATGGGAAACCCATGGGGATTACAATTGAGATAAAAGAAAATGTACAAAATGATGTAAAAATAAACTATTATTTAAAAAGGCAAAAAAAAAAGTATGAATTTTCTTTCTTTAAAGGGAAGTTATTTCCTTATTTTGCTAAGAGTAACCTGCATCCCTTGGGAGCAGGGAGTGCCAGGCACTGCCCTCAGGGGGCCGGTGAGCTGTTGTGAGTGTCCCCCAGCTCCACGTGACTCATGTGTTGGTGAGGGGGGTGTGAGTCAAAGTGTCACCCAGGGCCCCTCTGCTCCCATTTCCTTC